CCTATCATTTTGAAGCCTTCAGGACGTTCCGGGAGAATCTGCAGTGGAGTTGGGGCGTGGTATAAATTGATCGTGTCTCGAATGGGGTGGAATTTTTCTTATAAGTTGGCATTCAAAATTTTAAATTGTGATTACTTAGGTTGGAATTATGGGAGCATTATCTGCTACAATTACTTACATTTTAAATGGGGGGAGGTTTATTCAGGATTAAAGTATTCTAAAAATATAACATTTGCAAATAATAAGTAGCAATTATTATAAAGGGTAAACACTTATGTTATTGGTTTTCTGAAGTCTAGGAGTTGAATTAATTATGCTTGTTTATACTTATCTCTACATGAACACCTTCTATTATATAGCTTTTTTATATCTGGGTTTAAAACAGACACACTAATACATGTATTATGTAACCTTAGTAGTCACACAGTCAAATGGACTAATAATCTTATCTGGCGTAAGTACAATTTGTTTTTAATTGGCGGTACTTGTTTCATATAAGAGAGCTTCACTCTTTTAAAGAAATTCATTTTGACACAAGGTTACTTTCTAGTAAGTGGATAGAGTTCTCATGCTAAAATGCGATATCAAACTATTAATTTCTCAGCGTCTGCAGGGGTAAAGCGTCACAAGAAGATTGGCAGGGGATAATCTAGAAATCACTTTGTAGTTTCATCCGCTGCGGGAAGTTTCTATGAGAAAATTGGGCCATTAAAGAAATTGACCTATTCCAACATCTAATTGTTATATTATATGGGGGGTAAAGCCATAATTGCCTTTCTCATCTTCCTTTCTTCCTCTCTGTTCTCTGAAATTATAAATTATATTTCCTTTTGTATCAGACTTCTTGGCACGACTTGTACCTCCTTCATTGTCTTTTTTTACTTGTGCTAACTAGCCTAAAAATAGTAAAAAATAATTACCATTCATTTATTTACTTGGCTGCTGTGAATGCAAAATCATTGTTTGATGCTGGCCAATATTGCAGCTTTTACTGCTTCTCTTGACATTTCGGGACCAGGAATTGCTAATTAGTGAGGAGATTGATGGGTCAGCAAGTTTGATAGTACATCCACCTGAGGTTAACTCAATAATTTTATTATAGCTTCATATGATAATGTGGCCCTATTGGGTGTAGCAGTCTAGTATTCGGCTCCTTGTTTTGTCACGAATTAGCTTTTCAATTTGTGGTTGTGGTTGGAAAATTGCACTTGCAAATTACAATGAATTTTCTTTGCATGTATTATGGGCAACATTATTTTTGTGCATGGCTAGGTGCCTGTTTAGTAGTTGTCTCAAAGCATTACGATCGTTGTGTGTGGATTGTCATAAGTGATGCTAACTTTTTCACCTTACTCGCAACTTAGAACAATTTGTAATATGTTTTGACTTTTAAGATGAGAACTATAAGATTTGATCAGTAAAGTTGGGGAAATATGGAAAGACAGCAAACCAAAATTATAATGCATCTATTGACGTGGTTAAACTTAGCCACTTAAGGTGTTAGATTTTGGTTCCCACAATTGCTTCCTTTGCTGAAAATTTGGTATATTTCATTAGTCTGCTACCGATATGAGAAATGCAATTATATTTGGAACTCTAATGCAAAGAAATAGCCAGTAAAGCTCTGAACAACATTTAATACTTTTGTAAGTGTACTAAGGCTCATTTGTTTTCAAAAATAATTTTGCTTTTGGAAATATTCTAAAGTGTAAAAGGGGTTTACACAGCAAAAAAAAATTGTGTTTTACTCACAATACCTTGAGCGGTGTCGTTTGTTTCGATTAAGTTTTTTGTTTTGTCGTTTTTTTGCTTATAAAAATAAACAAAACCGTTATGGATTACAACTTGGTTTAACTTTTAATTCTTTGCTTCTTTAGAGGAGAAACTTTTTGAAAACAATAAACACCAAATATGATAGCCACAAATAGTGGGTTTACTGGGAAGTCTTTGTGTTTTCTGGTTTTTTATAAATTCTACAGATTTCCAAAGTTTTTATTTGTTTATACAATTTATCTTCAATAAAATTACTGGTTCGTGATTGTTTTTACTTTATATTATTTTCTTTATTCTATATAAAATCGATAATGTACATTTTTAGTTATTTATCCACAAAAATGATAACATAGTATGATTATTTTTATCTCTATTTCAAATTCTTAGCTTTTTATTTTTTTTTTTTGCTTTTTTTTTTCTATCTCTTCTGGTATTTAGTATTATTTTTGGGTATTTTTTATTATTTCTCTCATTCTGATTATAAATCAACTAAAATGTTCATTTAGTGTATATTTTATATTTAAGTATGAAGTATTTGGATATTATGGGTTTTTATTCAACATAATTAATCAATAGTACTGTGACATTTTGAAATATTAAACGTGAAGATTTGGGTAAAATATTTTGTTATAATTATTTTTCAAATCTATAAAAGACTAATATGGAAATTTTTAGAGAATATAAATAGATTATTATTAACTAAAATCACTCACGTTGTGAATCGATCGTTAATAATTAAGTATAGTGGATTGAATTAAATACTAATTAAATTCTCTCTATCTATAATCATTGGTGAACCACAAAAAAAATGAAAAATTATAATTTTAGAAAATACATAAATAGATTTTTATGTTTTTCCTAAAATAATAGAATAATCACTCGTAAACATCAACTAAAAACTTTTCATGTTCTTAATAAATAAAAAACGTCAAAATAAATAACTATAACAACGGGATAGGCATTTATTTTCAGGTTTTTTAGGTTCTGCAATATTAATTATTAGGAGTAAAGCTAAAAATATTTAAAAACTCTTTTTAAAATCTCTGTATAAAACTATTAAAATATCTATCTTATATTTCGTTGAGTATTGTATTATATATAAAGAGTTTTCATTATTTTATAAAATTTAGCTAAATAGTTTTGAGAAAAATGTAAAATAATAAAAAAATTTGAGATAAATTGTGATTAGATTGGTGTTGTGTATATTGTGAAGGCCCACTATGTATGGCCTCGGTGCTGTGAGTAATGGGCAACAAGGCGTGATTAAGAAAGATTAAAAAAATGTGTATTATATTAAGTGCTTTATATTTTGTTTGTCAAATCCGGAAAATGTTTTCCTTTCTTGAAAATGGGAAGGTCATTTTCCTCAACGTAACCATTGTTTTTCTTTTGACTAGCGAAAAATATTTTCCGTTGACTGATTTTCTTGATACTCCAAGTCAGAAAATCATTGGAAAAATAATTTCTAGACGAGGTTATTTCTGAGAAACAAATTGAGCCTGAAGCTGAGATTGGTCTCAGGCCAAGAAACTCTTGTATCTTCTTGTCTCTTCATCACATAAACAAGATGTACTGTAAGCTATTTGTTTTCTGTTGGCTTGCTTAATAACATTCGTTGTTCAAGTTTCATGTCCCTATGATTCTCATGTTGTTCAGCTTCTTATTCTTGTTTTTTATTCTAAGTGGTGAAAGAAACCACTTCCTTTGATATTACATCAATCCTTCCTTATAAGCGAATTAAAACGCTTCTTGAGCAATTTTTTTTGACTGATGAGCCCACATATTCATGAGAGGTTAGGATAATATTTTAGTCCCCAATAAATTATTATTTTCCACTCCTATTACTCTGATTCTTTTCTTCATGTATTATAGCTCTAATGATAATTGTAAATGACTTTGCCATTGTAGGTTAGTTAAGATCCCATATCCCAATAAGTTTTTGAGGAGGTATGGTTTTTTATGCAGGACGAATGAGCTGCTGTACAGTGAATGCAAGATATTTTGTTCTCTTGATTATATTTGATGACCATATTTCCCAGGAGAAAGCAAATGATGTGCATATATGTGAAAGAGGTCTGATTGACTTTTAGGAGTGAATTATAACATGCTGCGTGTGTTTCTGACCAAAACTTGGATCACATAAGTGAATTGCCTGGAATAATAAAGTCTTCTAAACAAAGAAAAATCTCAAAGATTCGCAGTTTGAGTATTTTTCTCTTTTTCCTATTTGGCCATAAAAAGTCTTTTCAGAAGACGAGTACTAAGAGTTGTCTCTCCTCGCTATTTCTTATACACTTTGATTAAACCTGAAGGTTTTCTAAGTGTATAAACTGGTTCAATTCCCAGCGATTCTTACACAAAATTCCTAAATTCATTTTTTATTAGGTAAATAGGATATAATAATTAGCTTTTAGAAACAAAATTTATCTTAATTATGGCTGCCTTTTACTAGCATCTCGTGTGTATAGAAGAAAACTATTCTAACTTTTGGCTTCATTCTGAAGTGTGGCCACATTTTGAGGCCAAAACAGCATTTAACATCATCATTAATGCTTTCTCCTTTTTCTCTGTAAACCTACTCTTTGGTGGAGTTGGAGTTAATGACTGGGTACCATGATAGTGGTCTCCTAGCTCTTGTTTTATGATGGTTTTTATCAAAATGATCTACCATGGTGGATATAAAATTTATCCATTCCATGATATTGTATGGAAGATCCTGAACGTAATTTATAGCTTCAAGTGGTCTCTCTATGTTTTTTATCTGTTGTTAGTCACCTTAAGTTTTTATCATTTGAGAAAAATGGAAAATTAAAATGCGCAAAGGCACTCACACGGACAATACAGCAGCATTGTGGAACCCCACTAATGTGTGAACTTCCTTTTTTTAAATTTTTTTTTTTTATTTTGGTCTAAGGAGGAATTACTATTGTTGATTCGTGCGATTATCAGCCTTCAAGTAGAGCGTGTTTTAACATTTGAACCTAATCTCTGCTCTTTTTCCTTTTACCCAAAAAAGGAGAAAAAGAAAAAAAAAAAGATTAAAATAAATAAAAAAGAATATGTTCAGTGAGAGACATCCATTACCATCCTAGAGTTCTTAGAGTGTTACTTTATTGTATAGACATAAGGAAGAGATTTAACGCCAAAAAGAATTTGGAAATTTTTATTGCAGATTCTTTGATCTATATTATGGTCCATGAAGGAAAAATGAAAAAAAAAAAAAAAAAAAAAAAAAAAGAATGCAGGGCACCATACCATCCTGTCTTAGATTTTACTTTTGAAGAAAAGGGAGTTAACGCCAAAAAGAATTTTGGAAATTTTATGAGTATTTCTTGATCTATATTATGGTCCATGAAGAAAATTGTTTCCTTGTTTTATATTAGATTATTGCTTCTCATAGACAGGTGGGTTTATTAGATATCATATTTGAAGTATGAAACAATATTGAGTGGCAAATCGTTTACTTGCTATCAAGAAATATAGTGCTGCTTATCAATAATTTGGGTTTGGCTCTCCTATTGTTTCTTGTTTATTTCTTTTAACAATTCAACATAGCTTCATCTCTTTGGCTAATGGCCTCATTGGGATTGGGTTGCATTTTGCATATAGCTTTTCATGTTCTTTCAATCTTAACCCTTCTCTTCTCTCACTTGCACTTTTTCCTTTTCTCTCCTTGAGAAACAGATTTTCAGTATTGATATTTCTGTTCAGGTTTTTTCATTTGATAGTCCTTTCTGTATATTCTTCAGTTAGATCTTTTAGTGCTTGCCCAAATTATTATTCCCTTTTTCTTTCTCTATTTTTGAATATTGCAATTGAGATTGTGAGTGAGCATTAGGATTACTTAGTTCTAGATATTGTAACATTATGTTAGGAATTTGTATAAGCAAATTAATAAATTTTATTTCAATAGAATTATGATTTATAAATTTTATTAAAACTTCAATCCTATTTTAAATTGATCACCTAGTAAAAATTGATCACCTAGTTAATAGCTTATAGGACTATCATATTGTTCGTTAAAAAAAAAAATGGCTACAAAAGTTAGTATAGCTAAGTAAAAGTTTTCTATGCTGTCAATAGCTTAGTAGTATCATATCAGTTATTAAAAAATAATTGTACAAAAATTAGTGATCCTAACTTTATTGAAATAAAATGAGGTGATTTTTCTAATATTGATTGTAATTTAGTGATTCTAATCATGTTAAATTCAATGACTATAGCTGAAAAACTAACTCATAAATTAGGTGACAAAATTCATATTCAAGGACAACTAATGTTTGATAGCGTGACATCTTGAAATGTAAATCTACAATATTTCATTAATTGAAAGTGAATATGAAATTTATTATTTTCTATAATTAAAATATTAAATGAGCAAAATATACTATCAAAGTAGTTCTTAATAGACAATTGGGAAAAACACTACATATAATTTTGGAATAGTATATAGAATACAAATTTTAACAATATTGACTAATTGGTAAACTTGATTGTTCAATTTGAATGATAATGTTAAATCTTTATATATATGCGTGTGTGCGCATTCGTGTGTGCATGTGTGCATGTGCGCGAGCGTGAGTGCATGTGAGTGTGTGGGTAGATGGGTGTGTGCCTCTGTGCATGTGTGCGAGTCTGTGTGTGTGTGTCTCTCTCTCTATGTATGTGTGTGTGTGTGTGTGTGTGTGTGTGTGTATACACGTGTCTCTTGGTTAGTCATCCGTTTAAAACCTAATCTTGGCCCAACCTCCGGGCATTATTACTGGAACAATTGAAGGAACTTGGGCTTCACTATATGTAATAATAATAATATGCAGGAAAGATTTTACTTGAACCTGCTTTAATAGTGTACCTAAAGCCTCAAATTTATTTCTCAGAGTGCAACTCATGGCCTCACCAGACTGAAAATATATGTTTTGATAACATCAATGTTTTCAACTATACTACTATTATAGATTTCTAAATTGGTTTTTCAAGAGGGGAAACAAAAAGGAAATATCACATTGACACAAACAACTGGTAACCTCTAGAAGCAAATGAGGGTTTCATTCCTCTGCCATATGGTGCCATTTTATACTGCAGCAGTCCACTTGGTGGATGGCAAAGAATAGTGGTCCTCTTTTGCTAATGTTGTTTTATTACTGTTTGTAGCAGCATTTATCTGGTACCTTTTTTTTCCTTTTTTCTCTTCATACTATCTCTTGTAACATGATTTTATAGATTGAAGCATACAACACTGAGAGAGCATTATGCAAGATCAAGCACCTGTCTACGTCTGTTGCTGAACATGTTAGTGTAGCTGGAGGTGATGTAAGAGAGCATGAACACAAATCTCTCATGTGCAAGGGAATTATTGAGTTGTCAAGGCACCAAATAGAGAAATTGAATATAGAATCTGAGGAAAGCAGCATGAAAAATAATGACACTGATAATGGTCTCAGGTCATCTCAACAAGGTCGAACCACTTGCAGATCAGGCAATGCTACAAATTTTCTGGGGGCCCCCTCAAGCTGGTATGCTGTTAGTCCTTTCCAAAGTCTAATTTTGTATTTTGCATTGTCAAGAACCTGTTTCAGAAAGTAAAAAAAGACATTGAACCATCTTTAAGAGTCATTATTATGAGCTTTAACTTGTGAGCTTTTGTTCCCCTTCTTTCTCCATTAATACAATTCTTGCCCTATAAAAATTTTACGAGCTTAACACCAGCAGATTTATATTTTCTTAATTTAGCTAGCTTACTGAAGATTTGAGTGAGTGAAATTTTGTGGATATTTATATGTGGAAAGAAATTTTTGTGAGTTCATCACTAGGTATAAATAAATAATTGTATAATAAAGGAATGTTAAAAATGTATATGATATAATGTTTAAATTTGTTGTTTCTGGTTTTTCACTGCAAACAAACTGAAACTCAACCATAAATCTTCTTTTCAATTTTTTAGCTGAAATGTGTATTTCTAATTATAAATCAAGCCAATTGACCAATTTTGTTCGATGACAACTTTCTAGCATATGAGTTTGATCAATTGGTAAGCTATTAGTTGATTTTCACATCAAATCAAATTAACTGAACATTTTAAATTAAATACCAAATTGAACCGATCTACATATGAAATGAAACCAAAAATACTGAACTGATAACTTCAATTTGGTTTCTCCCCTTATTGTCATTCTCACTATCAGATAGAACAAATTAAGTAAAAACATTTCAATATCTTTTGAGGAACTTTATCCTAATTTATCAACCAAAATCTTAAAAGCTATGTTCAATAATTGAAGGAAACCCTATAAATGGAGATCAATAGGCATTAAGATGTGTAAAAATCCACAAGACCTTAGATCCCCATCAGTTGTAATTCCACCATTGATTAAACAACTCATTAGGAATAATAAAAGAGAGAAAAATAAGAAAAGGAGAGATTGAGGGGGAGGGGTTGTATTGCAGATATATGGAATAAAAATCTCTGTTCTCTTAAGTTTGATTATATAGAAGTTTTAATTTTGGTGGGAAGAATAAGACAGACAAGAACATTAGTAATGAGGTGGAGACCTGAGAGAAGGAATGCCTCAGTAACTTTGGCATATTCTCTGCCGGAGGATGAATGATATCTTTCCATTTGCTGTTTGTATTGGTAGCAAAACTATTCTGTACTGTGCCTAATATCTCATGTTTCAGACAACTACTTTCATGTGCAAAGCTACATGTAGGTAATATAGAGATTCGAGATTTTGTTCTTACTCAAGTGATTGGAGCTATTCTGGTTATGGTTGAGTTGATATGGTGCTGTCTTGTCAATTAGAACTAAAACAAAAAAAAAAAAGGTGCAATTGGAAATTATTTCAAATGATTTATTCACTAGTGATGTTTGGAGAGTCTGGTAGATGCATGCTTAAATGCTTTAAACAGCGAAATGTAATTATTTCTGAACTGCTATATACTACTATGTTAAATCCTTTTCATGAGATGTCACAGACTTGTTCATGCATTAAAAGAAATTTTTTGGTAATGCCCTTTATGAATTTTGAAGTTAGTCTGGATCTCAGACTTGTGTTATTGAAAGTTGCAGTTGTGATTATACATCATTTATCTTATTGGAAGCCTTTTACTATATCGTACGCTTTTCTTAATGACAAAGTTTTTCCTCTCAGGGATCCTTATTCAAAGGGCATTGATTTGGAATCCTTGAAAGCTTCTCTAGGCTCACGGGGTATGCAACTTGAACATTGGCCACAAGTACAAGAAATGACTTCTTTGGTGCTGCTAGTAATATATATTGTTCATTGTTCTTATCTTATTACAATTGATATATTATACTGTCTGAAGCAGAACTTGGTATCAAGGGTAAGTTGAAGTAAAATATGAAATTGGTCCCCTTTTCTGGTTGGGGTGGCAATTAGTGAAAATTTCAGGCGGAATGTTCCATTGATTCTAAGAGAGGCCATGGGATGGCCGTAAGGTATTTTCCATTTATGTGGGACGGGAAGACTATAGGCCTGGTGGCCCTGGCCTTGTATTTTTCCCCATCATTTACAATTTTGTTTTCAGAGAAAGGATTGCATTTGCCTTACATGACACGCATGTCTGTGCTCTGTCATATCGCAGAATAGGATTGAACCTCACCAATCCTTGAAAAGAGCAGCCTGGTTTGCTTTCCCTTCGGTTGTTAATGCAAAATCTTATTAGTGGTTGGAAAATCTGTGTGCAGTAGTCATCTAGTGTGGAATATATTAGAAGGCGCACAGGCTGAACATTTTCTGAATCTAAACATCATATAATCCACTTGGGAAATATCATGTCGTCAGGAGATCGAAAGAGAAACCTAGCAGAAACTGACTTGTATTATGTGGGAAACATGCAGGAAAAGCAACACCTATTAAACAAAAAATAGGTGAGCAAAAGATCTCTCAAGCTGACCAAGAGAAAGCTCCTGAAGATACCAAGCCAACTGCTTCAGTTACTGATGCTTCAGAAACTGGGCTTCAAATGAGTGGAGCAAAGACATTGCAAGATGCTATAAAGCCAAAGGACAAGAGGAGAAAAAGGACGTCCGCCAGCATGGATGCAAGTTAGATGAACTTTCTGGCCTAAGAAATATCTTCAGTCTTCATCTCATATATGTTAAGTAAAATCTTTCTAGGATTATAATCCTTCTATATTTCTCATCAATTTTAAGTCCAAAGGTATTGCACTGGTTTTTCCTTTTCAAAATCATGGTCAACCACGGTTTCTTAAAATGTTCACATCCTTCTGCCCCCTGGGTTGGATGCTTTCTTTTTTGTTTTATTCAAGTGGGTTGTTTCCTTAAGGTTGACATGGTTAACTTGTTGATTCCTTTACAGCAGATGCTTGAGGTCTGGGTTTCTTCTATTCGCATTTGTTCAGTTGGAGGGCAGATGGTGTTAGAAACTTTATTCTTTCTCACAGGTGGGTGACACAGAGGGTTAATAGCTGCCAGAGTAAGCTGAAGTGAAACCAAAAAGATACTCTCACGCTCAACATTTGGTATTGTTGCCTACTAAGGTGTAAGGTATGTCATATGCGCCACATGGATATTGATACATTTGGCATTGCACTGCTCAAGTTGCATCTCCTGAGTTACGTTTGTATAGAATTTAGATCGGTTAACGTGCTAGAGATTAAGCTTGACTACATGGTTGTTAATGATCCATTAACTCCATGTGATTAAGCTCAATTTTGTATTCTAGCATCTTTAAGCTTTTTTTCACTTTCCTTTATATGAACTTAAAGCTCGAATATACACAAGCTATAGAACAAAAGAGATAACCATTGTTTTAGGATATTTAATGAATTGTAAAAAATGTTGTTTCTTTGAGAAATTGACAACTAGTTATTTTCTAAACAGTGTCAGATGAGGCCTGTTAAAAAAGCAAGTAGTGTGCATTACAGGTCAAGTGCATCAATGGCCTTTCTTGGCTTCTATTGTTATTATTTACTATGTGATTGGCAATAACATTTCCTTGTTTGTATTAGCAAATTTTCAAGTCGTTAATGCTTTTAGTCAAGCTCTTTTGCTCTGTGTTTTCTTTATTGTTGATATAGCATATATTCTAGTATGTTTGAACATGTTCTATGAAATATTAAAAATCTCCTTTTTGAGTGGTAATTAATGAAAACCTAGAGGACATTATGTTTGTATATTTGCTCGAGAAGTAAATTACTGTAACACCCCTTGAGGTTTACCATAATTTGCACATTGGTCCTTCTATCCTAAAATTAGCATTTTTTAGTCATTTAGGATTGTTAATAAATGAACCATTATTCTGGTCCTTGATTTTAGCTTATATAATTAAAATTTAAAATATAATGTACCCTTAGTCTTGGAACTAGTTTGTTGTAAAACGTTTCTTTCAAAATCTTGTAAATTTCAAAATAGAAAAAATAATATATTAACCTTCAAAAATTATATATTAAAATTTTAAATATAATAGTACTTAGTCCTTCTGGAACTAAGTTTGTTGTAAAACGTTTCTTCAAAATCTTGTAAATTTCAAAATAAAAAAATAATATATTACCTTCAAAATTATATAATATAATATATATATATATATATATATTTTATATATATTAAACAGTAGTTTTAAATTCGTTTTAAATTTGACAGTAAACGTTACTAAAACTTTTACCAGACAATTAGTCTTGGATCAGCTAGAAACTATTACTTATCTACAATTATTAGTTAGCTAGCTTGAACAGCTAAATCAAATGGACCTAAATCAATCTTTCATGTTATTGAAAATAGTAGTTAGTACGAAAAATAAACTTTTAGTACTCAACAGTCAAAACGTCAGCGATTTATTAAAAAATGTCTCGCTTGTAACTCCCATCACTCATGCCATACAATAGTTAGGTCTACCAATTTCGAGCTGATAAACAAAATGTCTCACTTATAACACCAGCCTCGCTCACACCTTGTTTTCCTTTCGTTTTCTTATGAATCAGACTGAATTGTGGAGTCCCAGCTTAGGGCCAATTCGAGAGGTGATGGATTAAAAAATTCAAATCTTCCAGCAAAGAAAATTCTCTGCAAATGGGCCTCTAGCCAAGTCTACTTATGAGGTCATGAATTCACTCGTTCCAAAGGGTTATAATAATCACATTCAAGCTCATGAAAAATAAATCCACAATTGCCAAGCGCAATTTACTTCATCACATGGTATGCTCATTCTTATATGATTGAGCATTAGATGGTAGGGGGTATTCGGGGGTCGGTTTGGTTCGTTTAAAGCTATATTCAAATTAAATCTAAAATGACGGTTTACAAAAAATATAAACCAAATCAAATTAAAAAAAAAATATTAAAACCAAACCAAATTTAGAATAGCGTTTTGGTTTGATTTGATTCGCTTTCAAAGAAGAAAAATTAAATAAATAAAATAACAAATCAAAGTCAAAACAAACAACAAAAGAATGTGAAAAACAATGTACATAAATAAACACAACAACAATAATAGTTGGAAGATTCAACATGAAATATTATGTCTTTAAAAGATACTATAAACAATAATAAAATAACTAGTATAAAAAGAACATGACATTAAAATTATTTAAGCTTTAATTCTCATCATCTATTGTACCGTCCTCAATGCTTGTGGTAAGTCCCCAATTTTTTATTAACAAAAAAAAAAAAAAAAAAAAAAAAAAAAAAAAAAAAAAAAGAAATCAGTATTCTCAATTAAAAGAACTAAATAAAGAATTATAATTAAAGCAAATTAATTATACTTCATTAACTTGTGCAATTTTTTCAAGCATAGCAACACCATCCAAAATATCTTGCAACTCAATTGTAGTAGAACTATTCAATCAATTTTGTGTACAAATAAGTGCCTCCACCATTTTAGGAGATAATGAACTCTTAAATGCATCAAATACACACCCACTTGTACTAAAAATGAATTCAGAGACAACGGTTGAAATAAAAATTGCCAAGGTATCTCTTGCCATCTTAGAAAGGGTCGGATATTTTGAAGAATTTAATTTCCACCAATTCAAAACATCACAAGATGTCAATTTTTCAAGATCATCCATCAAATATTTTTCAATCTCTGATTTACTCTCTATTGATTGTTCATGTTGTAGCTTCTTTGCAAATGCATCGTTTGTTGAGATTAATGGCTCTGATATCACTTGTTGGGATTAATGCTCTGATACCACTTGTTGGATATCAGTGTAGTGATAAACTCCAAGATTGATTAATAATTTATAACACCAAGAATAATATCGGGAAAAGTAACCAAAATAATACTAATACAAAACATCAAATATAATTGTATTAATAAGAATCAAGCATTCACAAAGCTTAAGGAAAATATTACTTACTTGGTTTTTCTTAGTGTTTGCTTGGTTCTTACAAATGAGGTGAGGGGTGGTATTTATAGGCATTTCCACCTACTCAATGTACGGCTAAGATTTGTACATGGAGAATTCTAGAACTATGTTGACATTATACAAAATATCTTTGGGTGGAGTAATGTGGAGTATTCTAGAATGTTGGCTTAGACCTCCAACTTTGGACTTAAGACTTCTCAAGTCTTGGCTTATTATAGCAGTCCATTTTGGTGGTAACTAAATTAATCGGTGATATTTTAATATCATTTATATCATCATTATCATCAAATGACAATGACCTAAAAGATGGACTATCCACATCAACTCCAAAATCTCCAAAATTAAATGCATTGAACTAATCATACAATCGATTCAAAGTTGTTTCTACAAGTGCAAATCTTGTAATAATTAAAGAAATAAAAGAAAAACCATCATGAAAAAATAGCATGACAAATCCATATCAAACTGAATAAATAGTAATTCTTTTAAATAATTAAAACTTAAAACCCACTTGAAACAAAACACTAATACGTTCTTGCTAGGATGAAATAATCTCAAAATTGTTGATTCGCTTAACGTGAATTGAGGAAAGCATGGTTATGATAGCTACCAATGATGAATACACGACTATGGATTTAGAATTTGAGAAGAGAGAAAAATGGCAGAGAAAGGGTGAAGAGAGAAGAAGAGGGAGGATAATCTTTGTCGGCTTATTGCCGATGACTGGCGTTGGGTTTTAGCGTTAAATTTTTTTTCCCATTTAAAACAGTTGTGTTTTAATCCCATATAAATGGTGTAGTTTTAATAAATACTATCTTCAGTTTGATTTGGATCCACTTTGGCAGTTTTCACCCCAAATTATAAACCAAACCGCTAGCTTAATTTTTTAAATTTTATAAATCAAATCAAATTATTAGTTTAATTCGATTTGGTTCGGTTTGAGTGATTTATGAACACCGCTATTAGATGGTTAAAATTTTACAATCATTAACATTGAATTATTACCGTAATCATCCATTTATATAGGACATAAGAGAAAATAGACCACGGATGGATTATCATCATCGTGACATTATAATTATTCATGTTAATGGCATTTTTCAAAAGATTTTTTTAATGGAAGAGTATGATTTAGCTTATTTGTTATTTTCAAAAGATCTTAACTTTTGTTTCCTTGGCTTTTAATTTTATTTTCACAAATTTTGTATATTCCAACAGAAAGCAAGCATCAACCTTATTAGCCTGGCCAATATGGCAAATTACGCTCACTACAGAGTCAGGTCATACCTTTTTTTTTAGGCCTATTCGTAAACACCGCTTCGCGCGGATATAAATACATTATTTAAATAATATTATTATTTATTTTGATTAATGATATTATAATTAATATATATTTTTCTTATTTAAAATTTAATCATATAAAATATATTTCTCCTTTTTTAATTAATAAACTTTATACAAGGAAAAAACAAAAGGAATAATATTTGAAAAAGATTGCAAAAATAAATTCATTGAAAATTTGATTTTATGCGGAATATGCAAATTTTTTCTTTGCTCAAGTATTAATATATAATTTTAAAAATTATGTTATTAATAAAAAATTAATTTTATTATTAATTAATTATAGAAAATTTTTTTTATTTATTATTAATTAATTATAGAAAATAGCTAAAAATTTAAATTTAATATTCTATAAATTATTTATATTCTTTTGTTCTGTTTTTTTTTCTACTGCTCCAAAAAAGAAATTTAGAGACACTGCTATGATATTAAGCTAACTAAGATATTGGTTCCTTTTCATTATTATTCAATGAAGGAAGACTTTTTTTTTTTTTTTATCCGAACGATATATAAAATTTATATGATAAATTAGTAAATAATATACAGTATTGGTAACAAACAGATAGACTTATATAGATAAGATTACATTCAAAATTTCATTTTAGAGTCCTAATTATCTACATACTTATATATTTATTTGAAAAAACACATTACGTAATATCCGACCAACTAAATTATTCTTATTTATCTAAAAATACATTATTCAATTAGCTTTGGTCTTTGTGCCCATTTAAATGAAGAACTCCCCATATGTGTAGCAAGTTTTAAATGTTTATATACCTCCCAAACCATCTGCAATTAACATACAAATAAATAAGTAATTTTCTAAATATGGAAACGGGAAAAAGAGCTAAATATAGAGGGAAAACATTTAAACAAATAAAACTAAAAGAAAATTAGGTCATCAAACTTACCTCTACGGAAAGGATTAAGCTATAACATATATATATATATATATAATATATATATATATATATATAAAGTAAAAACCAAATCCAAGCAACTCCAGTAGTGAGACAAAGAGGAAACCAAAGTATAAAGAAAAATAAATGACCACCAACATACGTGGCCTGTGCATTTCTTTGTTGAAGTGTCGATCATCCCCTCCTCAATACCAATTAACCATTCCTTTTTTATTTTTTATTTTTTTTTGAGAAGGACACCAACAAACCATTTTTGCTGTAATGAATTAAATAATGTCTGTGTTAGGGCCCGATAATAAAATTACGATAATAACACAGCGGAAAAATATAAAAGCGGAAAAATATAAATATGACACACAGATATTTACGTGGTTCACCCTTTAAC